GCCATAATCTATCAAAGTGACAGCCGAGTGAAGGCGAGGGATTTCTCTCTTGAGTAATCAGCGGAAATAGAAGTGGCCACTGGACCGGTCATTAACGCCACCTGCCCCGACCGGCACCCCCGCAAAAAGAACGCCCGGCGCTGTCGAAAATTGTGGCGCCACACGATGATGAATTAATTCGATTTCCAGCCCCCAATATTTGATCGCCGTGTCTTGATTCAATCAATAATAGAGAGGGAAAGGATACTCTTACAGACAACGGCAAAACAGTGAAGCAAAACATCATCCAATAAATCAGTCAGAATTAAAGCAGGAGGGAACGGAAATTAAGCAAACAGTCACTTACAATTCTAGTGCTATGTAAAAATCACAATGAATTCAAAATTACCTAATTGAAAACTGAGATTAAAAAAATTCAATTTGTGTTGATTATTTTAATAAAAATATAATAATACGCATATTTATCCTTTTTATTTTAATGTTCATAAAAATATGTAAAAAAAATGTTCAAAATATTTAATATCTGAAAGAAAAACATGTTTGAATCTTTACTTGTACAATTTAATTTAGTGCCGATAAACTATTTCGTGCTTTTTTATTGTTTATTTCTCCTATAGGGCTATAATATTAGACACTTTTTATGAATATTTCAAATTCAAACTTTTTATAATTTTTTTCATTTTAAATTTTTTTAACCTTATTTAGAAGGAATATGGTGAAAAATTGATTGATTTTGTGATCAAATGCATGTATATTTGATAAAATCGATTGACAGGGTTATTTAAGGCTAAATTATACATGTTTACTTAATAATTATACCTAACCGTTTATATCTAAAAGATCGCTTTCAATTTAGAGGCTTTCGGCTGAATGGTGGAACGGTGGAAGCAATTAGGCCGCACGCAAAAGAACGTGCTTTTCCTCCAGGGAAACACAATCGATGCCGCTCGAGACACGGGAGGAAAATTTTTAAATTGAGCTTTTGTTACACGTGATGTGGAATTAATTTGATGCTTTGAATTTTTACGCTATACCGAAAGCTCTTTCTTTGCATTAAAAATCCGCTTCACTCTGAATTTGGTTCAACAAGATTTGCAGTTGAAAAAGATGGGAACAGAATTTAATTTCGTGGGAAAAAATTATCCAGCTCGTTTTCGTGTGCCGGCGGCGGCGGCTCAGAAAGCTTGGCAAAGAAAATGTCTCCTTCCTCATTCGCCCTTTTCAATCATAAAAATCCTCTCACAAATGGAAAGCTCCTCTCTTTTTGCTTTGCAACAATAAGCAGCATTTCTCTCTCAGTCGCTCTCATTTCAAAATTTTCCTGAAACGGAGAAACTCGGTGAGTGGGAAAAATGTTATATAAAGAGGATTGCGCGCGATATAATAAATTGCGTTGGAAGCCACGCTTGACACGGCGGCGGCGCAAAAAGCAGTCATTATGCAGCAGGAGAAAAGGTGCCTGCCCCTCCGCATTTTAGCACCAGCCTGCTGCTGCTTCTAATGGAGCTCTTTGCTTGAAACAGCAAAGTGATAGATGACCTGGTGCGCAATTACTCGGAGACAAAGTGAAGAGGCAGGTCACGGCCATTCGGGAAAATTGCCTATATCGACAAGTCATGAACCTATTCGCGACGAGCTATTGCCACACTCCAGCTGCGAATCTGCAATTCTGCTAATGCGCGCCACTTTATTATTCAGCATTTATGGCGAAACCGCAACCGAGGGTTGACCGGAATTTCTGGCACTTCGCAGCGCGCAAAAGGGCTGCGCGCGCAATCAAATATTAAGCCCGCCACTCTACGTGATTTTCCTTGCAATGAGAGGCGAAACCTGCTCGTTCCCCATTCACAAAAGGGAGTGTAAAATTTAGGTGGTGTGCAGCGCCAAACGGAGTTCAATCTACTGGTATTTCACAGTTGAAATAATTAATTTCTCAGGTGGTTTCTGGTAACGACAGTTTTTAACCTTCATAAAATTTCACACACATAATTTGGTTTATGTAAAAAATAAAAACATTCTGGTTAAGAATCCTGTCAAACCTGTGTTATAAAATCATAAATTGAGCAGCTGTATAGTTACAAAAATTTATTTGATATTATCGGATACTTTATGCAGGGAAATTCATCTTATAAACAATATAATTAACACAACATACATGAAAAAATGATACAATTGTGGTAACGGTAATTCAATTTACTTTCATTTAATTGATTGAATTAACTTATCGTATAATATCTGTCTCTTGTATCAAAATAATATTTTAATACAATATTTAACAAACACCCCAGGAATCACATTATGAATTTAGATGAAATAACTAACAAAAAATATTAAATTAAAATACTTTTTACTATTTATTACCAAATAATTTTGTAGCATTTAGATTAAAATACATATTTTTAAATAAATTTTGTTTATTTAATTTGACATGATTTTATTTCAATACTCAAAGGAAAATATACAGAGAAATTTATAAATAATTGTCATGCTTTACCAAATGGAGCTCGTCATTAAAATTTAAATAATATACCAAATTTGTTATAAATACAGATTACTTACTGATTAAGCAACTTATATATTTTTGCACGTGTACTCTCTTATTTTAAATTCTTATAAAATTATCATCGAAATAGATTTTTCAACACAAACACAAAAAGGATACGAACATTATTAACTTATAATCTAAAGCTGAAGTATGTTTACTCCGTTTTAAAAATGTTGATTGTTATTGATGATCAGAATTATCAAGAAATTTTTTCTTCACTCAAAATTTGCTGTGGTCTGACCTGCTTTCGCTCTCTTTCGGTGGCTACTTGCTTGAAAAAGAAATTGTAGATGTGGGTAAAATTTACGGATCGAGCTGAGAGCAAAGTTCTCCTTTTGCACAGCTCGAGCGCACATTTTGTGCCGCGGGCCACTGCTGGTGATAAAAAAGAGGCTTTTTCCCTCTCCCACTCTCTCGTTATTTTGTTATTTACGGAGAGCAGCAACATGCTTTTATGCTGGCGCTGTTGTGCAGACCTAATTACAGAAGCCATTAGTGGCCGCGGGCTCATTTGCCCGTCGATCGGGTCTGACAGAGTTACAGCCGGGCGCACCAGCAGCTCGCCCCATGCACTCGTTCTCCCTCTCTGGCAAAAATAATGTGGTCGCCGGCACACATAGATGGACAAAAAAGCCACCGCCGCTTGATTTTTTCAAATTGCTGTTGGTTTGGCACACGCGCGCCACGTAAATTCACCCCGCTTTGAAGCGCGTTTGCGGCCGCCTTTTTGCGAGTCTTGCTTTGATTTGGCGCCGAGAGCAAAAAAATACAAATAAAAAAGCAATTATTGGTAGAAGCTTAAGTGTCAATTTTGGGCTGATTGCAGCTAATTCCAGAGAAAGCATTTTCTAATGAAAAGTAACGTTTTTCACTCACGTACGCTTCAAATAAGCTCAATTACGTTTTAATTAATGGCGTTTTTACCCAGAGTGTGTTTATTTAAACGGAGTTTTTTTCAACAGTAGTTTTCAGAGCAGCTGCTTCAACACCAAATTTAATGAATATTTAGAATTTCTGTATTCAACAATTATATTTTCCTTATTCCTTATCAAATCAAAACGGAAACAGAATTACAATTCCAATAATTTAATTTATACGAAATTTTGCAAAGAGAATAAGTAAATTTTGAAAATAAATCAATAGTACTAAATATGAAAACTAAAATATCAGCTTTGCGACTGTTTTTGAGTTTTGAATGTCTGAATGATACCAAATTGTTGATTTTTCCTTTCAAATTTTGCTCTTTGATCATAATAACATTGAAAGGGTCTCAAACGAGAGTCATATATAATTGTCGATGGCGAGGATCCTTTTGTGGTCTTTAATATCGCTGCACCGCCTGACAAATGGAACGGGATGCGTCGGACAAAAGTGAACGAGTTGAATTATCAGCGATTTGTTTACTGCCCTGTAAACATGTCAAAGACAGCAGGCCAGCACCATTAAAAGCGGCCGCCATCGCACATCAGCGGGGTGCACAAAAGTGGTCCTGCTGTCCCTGTGTTAACGATAGCCCCTGCCGCCGCCGCCACCGCACTATATGTGATTCTATTTTTCCATCAAGTGTGCGCCCGTTGTTGTTTAGTGAGTGCGCCGCACATAAATACTCATAAAGGCCCCCGCCGCCCCCGGAACGCGTTCCACCCCGCAGGCACCTAATCTTTGCCCTATAAAACCGCATCATGTGTACTCCATCAGAGTTGGGGATAACCGCGTGCTGGGAATATGTTACAGCCTGCATGCTTTTGCGGACGGCAAAGATTTTAGGCTTTAAAACTCGCCGAGTCTGCGTATGACGCGGCAACATTGATGTTTTGAAAACGCTGCTGCTTTGTAGTGGCTTAAATTATTATCAATCAAATTTTGTAGAGCTGGAATTATGTTCATTGCGGTTTATTGATTGCATGAAATTACGATTTGTTGAATTAACATGAACGATTCAATCTGATTAAAAATTTATATCATATATTATCGGAAATCAGTAACTGTATTAAATTAATAATCGTTCATTGATAAAATTAATTGAATGTTTTGTTCGAATCTTAACTTTCTTTATTACAATTAACTTTCTCAAACAAAGGCTGAACCCAACAAGAATAAATCATTTGTTGGACTGTTTTAATAGAGAACCATTATTAATTGAATTGACGATTTGAGGGCTTTAAATTATCTAAAACAAGATCTAAACTAACAATCTTGTATCAAATAAAACGTACACTTAAAATTTCTTAAATATTAAATAAAATAATGTATTGCTTCTCATTTAAACAATAAAAACTACCAAATTTAGAAGATATAAAAATATTTTGCAATTCTGGCAAATCCATTGTGTTGCTAATTTTCAATTTTTTAACAACCTCTTAGATACGATTGGCAATAAAATTTCATTCGCAGTTATTTTCTATTATTATTTTCTTGCTAAATTTAAAATGAATGTTTAACAATGGGCACTTACCGTTTCCAGTTGAAATTGGAGAAGCATTTTGCCTAAAGAAATGCGAATAATTCTCTCGGCGGGGGCTGTTGGAGACACTGGCACCTGGAACAGAGACGCAGTCGGACGTGATTTCAAAATAGCAGATTTGAGCCGAGAGAGAGAGAGAGAGAGACGGGCTGTCGGGCCTAATAAAGAAGCGGGTGTATCGTTGCAACAGCGTGTGCAGCACTTTGGGCGCAGTCCTTGATAATATCCCCTAATGAGAGTTCCTGCACACCAGTATATTTCGCTTATTGCGCCATTTGCAAACAAGGGCGGAAAGAGAAAAAGAACGCAAAGTGTTTACATAATGCGCGCCCTATGTAATGTAGCCAGTGAGAGCTGCTGCTGCTGCTATACTCGCTATGATATGGCACGCCGAGAAAAAGAAACGCACACGCTAATAAAAAGGGGGAGCGGGGAGAGAAAAATGCACACACGCACAGTTGGTATTATTATGTAAATTTGTTTTCTCCTCTCTCTGGAGTAATATTACACGACGTCACTTTTTGCCCTCTTTGTTATCATTTTGAAAAATTACACCGTCGTGCGCCGCTTCATCTCACAATGGCATTGCCAACGAGAGCAACGAAATATAAGTCTGCGCCTCGCCGACATGCGAAAAAGCAAGATCAGAAAACAAGTCGCGAAAAAACGTACATCGAGCCAAACAAATGAAAATAATCCTCCACTAGAGACTTTACAGGGAGAAACGCTTAAAAGCAAATTATCAAAATTAAAACCTATTTTCTATTTTAATTTTTTTTTATTTTTAATTAGGTCGCTTAAGATTTTTTACTAACTCTTTGTTGATTAAATAAGAAAAAAATAATAGATAAAGTAGTACAAACTAAGAAAATGTTTACTCATTTTTCATTATTCAAATTTGAAATACATAAAACAAACAATTTTATCTCTTATTTTTTTTTTGTCGCAAAAAATAAATAGTTATTCGCAGATGGATCACGGGTCAAGGGTCTCATTATGTAATTTTTGCCATCTATACACTAAAAATTGCACAAAATGGTTAATTGGATTTAATATAAATTAAAAATTCTTATGACAACTGCAATTCTTGCAAAAATTTCAGTCGAAATTAAACCCTTGCGCCCTTTCAAAAGTAAAAGATTCTACTGAGATTCACAAAGTTTTTAATTGAAGAGAAAATCATGTTTATACCAAAATTATCAAATTTGACTTACAAAACTGTAGCATCTCCCTTCAAGCAATCTCTTTACAACGGCGTGTATAATAAAGCCAGACGATCCATGTTATTGTAGAACATGTTTTCAAATACTGAATATTTGCAAGCACGGCCATTAATTTTTCCGCCCTTCGAGTTTTCTAGCTTTTTCTGCATAACATGCCACAAAAGGAGAAAAACCGTTGACTGACTGAGATGTTTTTCCAAGACTCTATAGAGTATTCAGCATTTATTTCTTTCTTTGCTCCGAGAGCAGTGGTAAAAAGTTTTGTGCGCCGTTATCGAAACAACGCTTGCTGTCATTTCTCCGTCTCGATTTTTGCGATCACTTTCAGCAGAATATAAAAGTTTGATCTCTCTCCGCCGCACAAACTTCGCCCGAGGGAGAAAGGTGCGTTTTCTTTGAGCCGGAAGGGTTTTTCAGCGTGCCGTGATCGGGAACGCGTATAAAATCGAGGAATGCACGGTCGGCGCCGAAAATCCCAGAAAATCGATCCCTCTCATCAATATTGTGCTCACGTCTTTAATTAAACTTGTAACTGGTGAACGCGGCGCGCACGCACACGGCAGAATATAACTCGGCGCGATGGATGGATGGCACGCAATACGCGATAAAATTCAGACGAGGTGGCACCAATTTAATTTTGACGCCGGCCATTGATGCGCGGCCTGATTGGCAGCCCTGAACAGCCCTTGACGCAATTAGTGGCGCACACAATTCCATTTGGATGGGGATTTCACGCGTCAAGAGCGAAAATTTTTCGCAAAGTTTTATAGCTCGTTCGTGTGCTGCCTTGATTTGCACACCTCCCTGGCTCGTTCAATCAATGGCCGTGTAATTGAAAATCTTGGCACGTGATTGGAAGTTCGGCCCAAAAGACTGCTGCTTCTATTGAAAACCGGAACAAAATATATAAAGGTTCCTTTGGCCTGAATCAGAATTGAGTATTTTTGGAGAGAACGAAAATTTGTTGCCTCCTTTGCTCGTTTGCGTTTTTCCACAAGATTATTGGAAATCCTGCTTTTGCTGCACGAGTTGCGATTTTATCTTGACAGCATGTTGGATTGGCAGGAAAAAAAACTGACAGCGGCAAGCTCCGGTATAATGCATTCGTGTGTGTCAAAGCAACCTGTGGCAAATCGACTCGCGTCACTCCCAACAGAACTAATTTGCTTATCCAGAAGCCCTTGTTTCTCTAGCGCATGAATAAAATTAGTAATGAAATGACAAAGGCGAATGGAATGATGAATGGATATGTCAACGTCCACTGGCAGATGCAAAATTTATTGCACATATATCAATTTTCCTTTTCTCTTCCAATATAGAGTTAATTACGATAAGTTATATTAAAACATTTTACATCAGGATATTAATTAAACTTTTCAAAATCAAGTAAAAGAAGAAAAAACAACGCAATTTAACCAGTGAATCAGAAATATTATAAAAATGAACAAATAAAAATAATTTTTCCCCATTTTAATTAATTTTTTTTTAAATTATTGTTAACATTTAGGGAAATGGTTGGGATGAATCCTTCCAAGGAGAAACAAAAATGAACAGTTTCTCGTGACCATTTTCTTCAGCCAATATATTTTAAATCTAAAAATCAACGTGTTTATTGTGAAGCGCGTGAAGCGGTCTTGGATAGAATAAGAACCACACTATTTTAATCACGATCCTTGATGCAACACATTGTGAATTCCTTCTCACTAGAATTTCAATCTTTAATTGATTTATACTCCAATTTTGTTATTATTTCAGCTAAGTTTCATCCCTGTTTCAATGCCAATTAATATCATCTTAATTAATAGAAAAATGATATATTTATATTCATAGTAAATATCACCACTTTCATTTAGTCTAAATTCACCAGTTTTAACACATTTAAATCAATTTTCAGAGAAATTTTTCTACTTTCTCTTTTGGCAAAATCATAATTTTAAACTGAAATTTAAATTAAATTATTGTGGTTGCTTCAAATGTGAAAAACCATCAAAAAAATTTCATGCACACTTTCACATTATAAAGACGCACTTTCTTTTACTCATCTTTCTGCTTCTTCTTGTTTATTAGATTTCCAACGTAAAGGATTTCATTTGACGGCACAGCTATAGCGTGTCAAATGCGCAAGAATCGAATTTGCCAGACTTTCCAAACTGAATTTCGTCTGCTCCTCTATCTGCAAAGTGGCGACAAACTGACGGCTGCGTGAGTGGCTTAGCTCTCCGGCTAAATATCAAAGATTCCGCTTAATATAAATTTCAGGAGCTGTGACTCGAGAAACGGAGCATCAAAGAGGCTGCGAGAGGGAAAACAGTCAGCTGAACTTGCTTCGAGTCGGGGCAAATTAGTGCGCGACGAGGCTCAGTTCTCCTAGGAGGAAGGAAGGGGTTGCATTATAAACAAAATTGTATTAATTAAGTTGCTGTGCGTCAAGGTGTGTGGCATTGTGCGAGCGAGTATGGGTGCTGTCACGACTTGTGTTCATAATTCAGGCGCGCACCCGCCCGCTCACCAACGCCAATGATGAAAGTTAGTAATTAGTTTATACAGCAGGCGGCTGAAATAATGTCACCGTAATCATGTTGTCATCCCCCTTTGTTTTTACGCAAGACCGGCACTCTGATGTTTGCTTACCATCCGAACCCATTTGCATTCATGATTAGCTCCCCAAGGACTATTGCTCTTGTTGGAGCATCCAATAAGGGACGTTTGTTCTCAATTGCCGCATGTTTTAAGTTGCATTCAAAGAGGAAAGCAAAAAGCGGCGTCCTTGAGGTCCTCATTACTGATTGTTTATTTTTCATGATTATGCACATCTAGTTTTTCTGGCGTAATGTAGGTTAACAATTATTTAAAAAAAATAAAGCATAATTTTTTTTCAACTTATCACATTGTTACTTCAAATCATCTTTCTAATCTGACTATGTATATATTTTTATTTGATAAAAAAATTAAAAAAAAAATGAAGTTTTTTTTCCATTCAAATAATATGCAGAAATAAAAACCTCCAAAAACTATACGCAGGAAAAATATTAAATAATGCTCAATTAAATGATGTCTTTTGTAATGCAATTTTCCATTACAAACCTGAAATTTAAAATTATATTTTGTATTAAATTTCTATCATTCTTGAATTAATTGAATAAAAAATTGTTTCTAATGAAATTCAACGCTACTATGACGCTAGAATATTTAATTTCCAGGAGACCGCAGGGGACTAAATTTGTTTTATCTTATGTAACTCATTAATTTTTTTATAAAAATGATCAGAATCAATAAATCGAATAAAGAGAAAGAGGTTAATGAACCAATTGACCTTTCATGTACAGGCACGGCAGGTCTGTCTGGCTTTTGTTTGCAATCCAAGAGTGTCGCCATTCCCTGTATCTCTGCTTCTTGGCACATTGTCGGCGCGAATAATTGCACATGCAACTGGCAACGCAGAGTGTGGAGCGGTATAATCATCATGGCTGCAATCATTAAGCCATTAGCCAAGCTCATCTTGCGCGAACGAATTGCAGGAGCGACGCGCTTGCATAACCAGCGCAAGCACACAGTTGTCGGCACCATTATTACAGTTTGCGTTTTACGCTTATTCCGATGGAAATGTTAAGTGTTCGCTTGTTTGAAGTGGTTGGTAATTTTTGCAATCGTGCATGCGCTGCAATCAACTTTTGCAAATTGACCACCATCCTTGTTAATGAACACTAGCTTCGACGTTGCCCGCAGTTATTAAACTTAAAAGCTTATTAGTTGAGATATACCAATGTATAAAAATTTTCATAGAAATTAAAAATTTTTTTAATTTGACATAGAGAATCTAAATTGGTTCAAAAATTTTTGAAGTTCATAAAT